ATTAATAGACTAGTATATTACTTTGAGACGGGACACAAAATCATTGAATGGATAACATACTTTGAGTCACAATCAGTGACGAGTTGCTTGCTAAAATTTAGAAAACTGTCATCAATATATAAAACTCATTCACTAAAATTTAGAAAACTGTCTATTAAATTTTCTATGACTATCAAAAGCATTCAAAAAATTCAACTTCTTTCAAAATTATCCCTAATTTTAGACACTATTTGGTACAGAATGAACACATTTTTTTCGTTGCACAGTTCCGATATTTTATTTACACTCTTAGACGCTTTAGAAGTTTAGACCAACACATTTTCGCACTTATAATAACTACACGTAGAAACGCACACTTATAACACTTTAAGTTTAGAAGCGAACTGTTCTTATATACCAAATAACAAAATTTTTCACAACTTGTGAGAAATGATTTTGCACTAATAACTACTTTTTAATTAGCGAGAAATATAAAAGAAAATATATTTTCATCGAGGTCAATTTCTAGACGCAATTCAACTGCAAATTATTAGTTAAGTTAAATATTCACATTACACATAATAGTATATAGGGATATGTATAGCAGACAGCAAAAACACATGGACTATAGAGAAACCGGAAGAAATGCGCATCGGTACACTGCGCAACAATGCGCTAGTGAAGAGCGCCGATTTAGAATACGAGTCAACTAACGTTTCACAAACTGTCACTAATGATTCGTAAACATTCAAACAGCCATTGATAACAATTCAGCATTAAATCTAAAACAATTGGTCACATACTGGCATTCTAATCAATCCATGACTCGTTTTCAATCGTTAAGTAAAGTTAAGTAACCATCAACGGAAAAAGAGTCCCGTCTCAAAGTAATATACTAATCCATTAATGGTTGACGGACTTTTTCTTTCCGTGTATTAATGGTTTTTCACATTATGCACAAAACTTTTTTTGAGCTTTTTTTGTACCGACGTCACAGAAAACACAATTTTCGATTTTCCGAAAATGTAATTGAACAAAAAGTTAGGTTTCACTAAGACAAGCTTCGACAAGCATGCGCGTAGGTGGCGCTAGTGAACTTGACAAAAAAACGCGAGTGGCCTACCTAGACAGTAGACCAACCTTGACTACATTCCCCTACGTAAATAATAATTTAAATGAACATAAATTATTAATATTTAATTTTTAAAAAATTGGCAAAATTATTAATTTAGATTTCATAACAATAAGTTTTTAATTATAAAAAATAGATTTAAATGCATTGAAATAATGTAAAAATTAAAATTAAAACTTTAATAATTATAAAAGGTGGAAGAAGTGAACAATTTTTCCGAATCAATCTCTCACAAATAAATCTCTTGAATAAGCTCTTGAATTAAATTTCATGTATTGACAGCACAGCTGCTCTAATACAGAAACCTGCTTTTTCTGAAAAATATGTTTTCGAAATTATTAAATAATTTCAATATTATCAAAGAACTCAGAAAAACGGTAGCATGGTGGGGTACGAGCCGACGACCTTTCTATTGTCAGTAGACTGCTCTGACCACTGAGCTACATGCACACAATAATTGTAACTAAATAGAGAAATTATTTTAAATATAATCAAAAGATTTATTTTAATTCAAATTTATTATTATAGAATAAACTAACTAGTGTTAAGAATATTAGAAAATTACTAATTTATTGCTTGTCATATTTGGACGTCCGCATGAAAAGGAATCACTTTGGCATTATTGGACTTATTCATATGGGCGAATTCCTTGCAAATAAAAATTTTTTTTAACACAAGAAAGAAAAAGTATAAATTTTAACCTGATTTTGGGGTAAAAATTCCCTGCAACAAATTTTCCCCTAAGTGAGGGCGCCACTGTCTATGTGAATTAGCATTGGTTAAAATTCCCCGCAACAAAATTTATACCATCTTTTTTTCTGTGAAGGAACTTCATTGTTAACAGTCTTAGAAAATATCAAAATTTTCATTTCTAAGAAAACGAAATTAAAAATTGTAATGAGAATTTATTTAGTTCTTCTGGGAAGTTCTTCAGATGAGAGTTGTTTTAAGTTTAATACACCCTTAAGATGAAAAATCAAAAGGTTTGTAATTTTTCCGCCCCTCCATTTTGAAACAGAAACAACTTTTGCAACGGACCGACAAAGTGGTTCGTTTTCATTTTTTTGCCTAACAACGAAATAAAATACTTAAAGTATCAATAAATTAATGAAAAATGCATGATTCGACCTGTGAAACTCTTTAGATTAGGAAAAAAGAATAAAAAAAGTTTTGATATTTTTTTTAAATTAGCTTAATAAACTTCTTATTATTTATGAGGTTGCTCAGAAGAACAAAATAATTTGTGAACTGTAGTGCGTTCGTGTTTATACTGCGTTAGTTTTTGTTATTGTTAGAACTAAATACAAGCAATCGAAATTAAATGTATGAGTGAAGTGAGAATGTGAATAAAATTCGAACGTGGTTGTATGCGAGGCTGGTTTATGTCAGTAAATTCGAAGAAAATAATTATTTTTCTTTTTTACTTGATAAACTCAGATAAAGTATTACAGTTGTGATCCGTTCTGATTCCAAAACCGTCTGTGAATGGTATGCCTGCGCCTCCTCTGCGCAGGCGTACCGGTTTCTTGTTTTACAAAACTGATCTGTAGTGAGCAAGGGTTCTTTCAAATCTATGTTTAAATGATCCATATATCGTTATTCTGTGTAGGTCTTCATAATATTAGAAGTTACTAATTAAAAAAAGTTTTCTTTTGGTTAACAATTTTCTTGTTTACTTTACAACAATCATTTGCAGGCAGTAATGTAGCGAAATTAGTCTTTACGAAGGACTGTATAGGAAAATAAGAAGGCAAGGCACCATCTGGTCACCTTATTCTACAATAGTCCTGTTGTAAAGATTACGTTTGCATGTATTACTGATTCCCTTAGACTACTACAAAGGTGAATAGAATCCAAGATTTCATTTTTATGTAGACTATTGTATTCAGTCACAAAGACTTTATACTCACACGTATTTAGTTCGTATTTATTTCAAATATATTTTTAATAAGTACATTCGACTGACGGAATAGTTAATAACGAAGCTATTTTAAGAATTTCAAAAAGTCTAGTGCAAAAAATACAGATTGGAAAAATCTTGTTTAATAAGATTGTGATTCGATTTATTCGAAATGTATTACTAATAATTAAAAAAATTTAGTTATAAGTCGATTACTTTCAAATATTTTAAGAAGTTAAATTTATAAAATTGTATCAAAGATTGAAAACATTAAACACCTTGCTATTTTTCTATTGCATTTAAAAACCTTGATCGCGCTTAGTCTAAGAATCCAACTCGAGCAAATGTGGGTAATGGTGGCTTCTGGACTAACTAGAAAATCCCATTTGTAAGAAAAGGACAAAGTTCGAATCAATAAATAATAAGTTTTAAAATTTAAATAAATTTAATTTCTTTAACAAAGTTATCTTTTAAACACACTGAAAAAAATGATACTGTCGATTTTGTCATACGAGTATGGTTAGGACGTATAGCTGAAACAGCAATACTGTATGGCTGCTCCATATCCACCAATATAATATGTGAGAATTGGCCATATTTATGGCACTGCCATAAATATATTTTTTTCAGTGCACTCAGTTTTCTGTTAAACATATATTATTTATGTTTTATTTGTTATCGTTGTCTTTAAAATCGTTTGAGATATTGTCTAGTATTTTAATATTATAAAAAACTCATTTGCCTATTAAGATTTTTTAAGATATTGTTTAAATGTTTTCGCTCTCTGCATGATTCCTAATAATTGTCACTTGCTAATAATAATACTTTCTTTATTTTTATTTGTAATTTATTGCATCCATACAGAAAACTGAGTGTTGTTTTTATTACGGGTAATGTTTTGGTTGGGTAATCTTATTGAGAATAAATATTCATAATTGAAATTTTACCATATTTTTGGAGTTAAAATAACACTTCCGAGCTAAAATTTGTTGCAGATACTTTTCACATTTCAACATTTGATACTTTTCAAACATTTTAGTGTTGAAACAACACCCAGTTTTCTCTGTTCAATTTACACACAAAAAAGTGAATTACTTATCAACGATGTTTCAAAATTTTAAGAAAGAAAAATGTAAAAGTTTTTTCTATGTCTATATCGGTCTATGTGTACATATTATATAGGTATACCGACAATACGTACACACAGACAAACGATTTCATATAAAAAAATTTTGTAATAATAGGAAGACTTAAAATAAAGGTCCACAGCAATAAAAGGAAGTAATATTTAAAAAAATTCCAAAACATTTTTATTACAAAAAGTTTGTAGAATAGAATATTGAATTTTGATGTTTAAGGTGGTCTCTTACATTCGATAGATTTTAAATACAAAATTTTAAATAACACTACTAAGTTATTAATGTTTACAAACCTTTAAAGTTTACATTTATTTTGAACTAAACATAAAACTACAAATAAAATTTATTTTATTATTACTATACAATCTATAAAAAGGAACTAAAAATACATGCATTTTGTGAAATAGTACTGCTAAAAAAATGTCATCCCAATCTTTAAATTTTGATGAATTTTTAAAAATCAAGTCGGCTTAAGATAAATAATAAGCTGAGATACAATCATAATAAGTACTAATTAAGCTCTTATATATTTATTAATGCATGAATAAAAGTAATTTAATATTTTAATTTTTTTATTATTATCTACAATTTTTCAATTGCGTAAAAGTGTTAGAAATAAGTAATGTAATTTGTGTTCAATAATATTTTGATTAATTTAATTTAATACTGTAATTAAAAGTCAACTTTAAAATTCGAGTCAACAAAGAGTAGAGTGTAAGTGTTGCAATTGACACACAATAAAATAAATCACTTGATGAAAATTTAAAAAAAGACAACTTTTACATTTCAGTTTTCATCTGTGTTTAAAAGAATTGTATTGCAATTATCAAAAAAATTTATGTATACATACATAATAACCTAAGCACTTCAGAAGGTTTTCTTAACTTCATTTATAGCTTCGTTAGTTGAGAAAAACATTTCGCATGCTCTCTTGCAATAAGAAAACATTGAAAGACTGTGAATCTTCTGAAAGTGTTTCAAACACTTGAACCATTTTAATACCACACTGTCAGTCCATATTGTACATGAATATGTAAAGTGCTAAAATGAAATACTTTACTGCAAACAGGTAATGTAACACCTAGACAAATCATCACCTTAAGCAACACGAATGTTGCTGGACGAACTAAAATTATGAAATGAAAAGCTCGGAAAGCTCCTGCGCACTGAGACTGGAGACACTCCGATCATTCCTGACAATCCCCCACATTTGCTTCCTCTCACACTCTATCCCTGTTCTGTCTCTCTTGTGCGCACACCTAATCTTGCTCACCCTCCTCTTCTAACACAGTAACGCATTCTCTTGGTATACACCATACTGGTCGATTTTGCACGTTACACTTTACACCAGCATATACCATTATCTCTAGACACAAAATTACGTACTTTATTTTAATTAGAATTCTTTTGTGATGAAAGAAACAATTTTAGCAAATAGCACAACATCTAATATTGCGCAGATATTTCTCGATAATGTTAAAATACTGACTCAACATTCTATCCTCCTTGAAGTAACATTGTCTTACATTTTTAAGAAAAATTACCTCGTTTTACTGAGGTAACAGTGTATATGACAATATTGAGGAAATTTAACTTCGTAATATCATATGTTGAAATAGTTTACTATTTGCAAATATTCTATGAATTTATTTCAGTTTAGAAAAGTGAATAAAACACTCTTCTATTTGTTTTGGCCTATATGGCTTTTATTAAGTAAATTAGATTATTTTTAAAAGGTTTTGACGTTTCGACGCGAATATCTAGTCCTCATGGGAAACTACAATAAAACGTATAATGTTTATATTTATGAATTTATTTTTTCTATGAATTATTATTTCACTACTACATTCCAAGCAAAAAATCAGTTCCCAGGTGCGAATTTGGGTTGGCCGCCAGAGTTTGAAGGTTGGCCCAAGGTTGGCCTAACTTTGGCAAGCGAAGTTTTGGTTGCCAGAGTTTGCCCAACTTTGGCAAGTACTAGTGCCCACAGTTGGCCCGACTTTGCAAGCCAACCATTACATGCAGAGTTTAACCAACCGTCGGGCCAACTTTGGCGACAAAGGTTGGCACAACTCATCCGAACGTAGTTTAAAAGACTTTCAGTTTCGGTTGGCCGAACTCTGGACCACGGTTGGCCCGACTGTTGCAGCTTTAATATACATTTAACGTTATGTACTCTGATGTGAGCGTAGCGAAGTGGTCAGTGTATAAGTCTTCGGTGCGTTAGGTTAGGGGTTCGATCCCGTCGAGCGTTAGATATTTTCGAAAATGCATGTATTAGATTGTGTTTAATAATAATAGGTAAAGGTTATATCCGATGTTCTCGCTAATAATAACGTGTTAATTGTTTAAATAATCTAGTTTTTTAATAATTTTTTACCTTTGGCTGTTGAAGTTGGCCAAACTGTGAAAATTGTGGTTGGCCCAACTTACGCATCTCAAGTTGTGCCAACTGTGGCGTCAGTCTTTGGACCAACCATTGAAATGTATAGTTGGCACAACATATGCATTGTGAGTTGGGCCAACTTCCTTATGAGTTGTCGGGACAACCATCGTCACCATAAGATGGTGAACCGTTATCATCTGTATGGTTTTCCCTGAGTTGGGCCCTATTTTACATGATACAGCCCTCATATCGCCAAACTAAAATTTTAACACTAGGAAAGCTTTACGAGGACCCTACGATGTCCTTCAGAAAATTTTTATTTGACAATCATAATTTTATGTTACTTTGGATATATTATTTTGGTAATTTTGGAATTTCTTACCCTAAATTTGACTCCTGAAAAAATTTAGAAAAGTTAATGAAAAAAATGCTACTTTTTCAGACTATTCCTTGTAATCTAGCTTTAAATAGAGACCAGGAACACCAAAAAATATTAACTGGTTCTCGAGATAATACAAAAAAATCAGACCTTGCGAAGCAAAATTTTCAATCATCGATTTATTTAATTTGCTGTCGAATCAGTTTCTTAGCTGTGAAAAAATGGTCGAAAATGAATTTTACCAAATACATACTTACTAGGATGCACTTTTTAATGTAATTTATTATATAATTATATTTAAAAAGTGGATTCCAGTAAGAATGTACTTGGTAAAATTCATTTTCGACCATTTCTTCACAGCCACGAAACTGACTGAACGACGAATTAAATAAATCGATTATTAAAAATTTTGCTTCGCACGATCCGACTTTTTTTGTAATATCTCGGAAACCCGTTAATATTTTTTGCTGTTCTTGGTCTCTATTTAAAGCTTAGATTAAAAGCAACCATTTTTTTCATTAACTTTTATACTCTCTAAATCTGAATTAGTAGTTTTCTACTAATGAAATAGTGCGGATTCGTTTACCAATTGAATTAGTAACTGTTTTCACTAATTTTTAGTAGTTTTTTTACTAATTATTAGTAGAAAATTTACTAATTTGAAATAGTAAAAAATACGTTCTACTAATTGAATTAGTATTTTTCTACTAGCAATTAGTAAAAAACTACTAAAAATTAGTAAAAAATGTTACTAATTCAAATTGGTAAACAAATCCGCACTAATTCAGATTTAGAGAGTAAATTTTTCCAGAAGTCAAAGTCAGGGTAAGAAATTTAAAAAAAATATAATTCTTTTTTTTGTCTTTAACATGATATCTTGCTTCCTATTTATGCAATACAAATGAAAATAGTGTCACTTTTTTGGAAACGTTCTTAGTCAAAAACTATGAAATATTAGATATTATCACTTACCAGAAATATAAATCAATTTATTCTGCGTGTAAATTTGATGTAATTATTATGCAATTATTCTATATTAAAAGATATTAATTAGAATTTAAAAATTTTTTCGTAAAAAATTTTCACAATTTTTCGAAACTTGTGACGTTTTTCTTGAAGCTTAAAAAAATTTTTGGTTTTGCACATACAGTAGAACCCTGTTAATACGATTCTGTAGGAACCGCACTAAGAATGTGTCTTATGCGGGAAAAAGTATTAAGCGGGATATAAAATGTATGTCTTTAATTGCAGGGACCACCATAAATGAGCGTCTTAAGCAGGAAATCGTATTAACCGGGTTCTACTGTATTTTAATAATTATTCATATAATTTACCTCCATTTAAAATTTGAAAGGGTACTTTGCTTCGTTTGAGAAATAATAATTTTGGAAAATTATTACTTAGAAGTAAACAAAACAATTACTCGTCTCTTTTGTTTTTTATATGAGAATAAAGTTAACCCCAAATCTTTTTATAATATATTACACATTACAATTACAAATAATAATAATAATTTTTTATATTGCATTAATATATTACACAGGAACACAACATTTTTTTTAAAGAAAGTATTGACCGGACCATGTTTTTTATGTTTTTTGGGTCGCTTAATTCGAATCCGAACTCAGTTTTGCGCCATTACGTCAAGTTTCTTCAAAATGGAGGATCCAATGGCTAAAATATATATATATATATATATATATATATATATATATATTTATTTATTTATTTATTTAAAAATTTCTCAGATTTTGAATCTTTTAAGATTAATGTGAAATTCGTATTCAGCGACTCCAAATACCCCCGAGTATAACGTTTCAGGTAAATACAATAATTTTTTTTAAAATTGGTCGGTCATATTGGATCCGCCATTTTGAATTTTTAAAAATTGAGGTGAAATTCGTATTTAGCAACCCCAAAAACCCCCGAGTAACAAGTTTCAGGCGGATTGGGTGAATTTAAAAAAAACAACGCCATATTGAATCGGCCACACTAAATTTTGAATATTTACGAGTTTCTTTGATTGTTTAACATTATATAATATTTTATCAGTGTTTTAAAGTTGTTTTTCAATAGAATCTTCTGCTTATTTTTATTTAAATATTTGTTTACAGTAAGTTTTTTTCGAATTTTATTAATTTGTGAAGAAACTTGACGTGATGGCGGAAAACTGAGTTCGGGTTCGAATTCAGCGACCCAAAAAACATATAAAAAACATAGTCCGGTCAATGTTTCCTTTAAAAAAATTTTGTGGTCCTGTGTTATTAATAATGTATCATTATAACCAAAACAATAATTGATTTACATTTTAATATTTGAGGTTAACTTTGTATTGTGACGATATATGTAAATAATGAAGCATAAAGGTTACTTACTTTACACGAGATGACAAATATTATTTATTTTATTTAGTGCCCGGTACAACCAAACACGCTGTGTACTTTTATTCTTTTGTATTTTAATATAATAATTATAATTACATATTTTAAATTAATAATATTCGATGTTCGCAAAGTACACAAATACTGTCATAGTTTGATAAGCCTGGTGCAGATGAAGCCCTTAATTGCTTTGACCCATCACTTCTGGCTCCAGTCTGGACCATAATATTTTACAAGCTGGGCCCAATTTGGAAAGCCCGATCAGGACCAGTTAAGTATAACTTGGACGAAATGTGGAAATTTCTACAGGTAATATTGCAAAGTAAAGGAATATCGAATAAAATTCAGCAGGGCTGATAAAAATCATGACTTTTTTAAAAAAATCAAAACAATCCGATTTTTTTGATTTAAATCATTTTTTTATACTTTTTTTTAAATATTTAAAATATTTAATTATTTTATAAGTAGTTCGTTTTTTAATATTAAAAATTATAAAATTAATAATAATAGGGTGGATGGAAAATTTTATTTTAAGAATTCTCTGACATTTCCTGACTAATTTTTCGGTTTCCCTGATTAATAAATTTTTTAATTATTTAATATTCTGCATTGATAATTAAAAATTTAATAATGCTTTTTAAGTAACAATTTTATTTAGAAAGAAAAACATAAGATAATTAAAAATTGTTTGTTAAAAAAAAATTTCCATGTGTTTAAAACTTTTATTATAAAAAAAAGTTAATGGAAATTTACAATTTAAATCGTGCTCAAAAAGTTATATTTATTTTTTTAAATATAAACCGCCAATGCCCGTTTATCAAATATTATACAAAAACTAAATTGACGCTTTTATCAAAGTTTTTTAATTTGTGGTTTTTTTCGATTTAAATTCCCTGACTTTTCCCTGAACAAAAAAATTCTCTAATTCCCAGTTATTCTGTAATTTGAGTCAAATAAACAAAACTAATAATTATTATGTTTACTTTATTATCTATGTAATGTATTCTTTTTTATTTTTTTGAATTCAAATCTTCAAACCAAAATACTAATTTTGCAAACTTTTCTGTTTCTAATGCATTTTGCAGTTTGATTTAAATTATAATTTTAATGACAAGATTTAAATCAAGATTAAAATCATGATTTAAATCAAGTTGATTTAAATCATTGCAGCCCTGAAATTCAGTATTGTATAATTTGTTGACCACTTTTAAAAATTTTTCTCCTGGCCCTAAAGTGCTCACCTGCGCGTTTTTGTGTAAAATTAATTTTGAATTTTTTAGGGTGAAATATTTATCAAAATGTATGATAGAATTGAAATTAAAATATATTAAAAACAGCAGTCCACAATGTTATTTACAATTAGATAATTCAAAATTGTTAATTCTTAAGTAAAATATTAACTAATGCTGAAAGATTTAATTAATATTTTATTTTTTAGCAACATTTTTTCTGTGATTATGAACTGTTACGTATGATTTCGTAACTATATTTAATTTTTTCATTAATTAAAAATTGGTTATATTGTATAATTTCATTAAAAATTTGGGACTTTTGTAAATAGAATTAAGTACTCAATACACATATTATCAGGACATAAAACGATTTTTACATAATTAACTCATCAATTAATTTGTCTTAAAACTATTCTTTTATAATTAAATTATATCCAAACTTAAAAAATAACGATAATCATTCTTCAATTGTTTTCATTCCCAATAACATTCAATATTATTTTTTAAATTATAATTCTAAAATTAGTTGAAAGAATATGGACATCACTCTTATTTCAAAAGGAATTTGTCTACTTTGTTATAAGTTACTTTCCACAGAAAAGACTCTTAATTGTATTGGTAAAATACCAAGAAAAAGTATACACTTAAACATTGGCAATAGAGGATACAGAGCATGGAACTATATCACGCCATTTTAAGGAATTTGCAAGCTTGCAAAAAGCTTGCCTGGCAACAATGAAGTTTGGCGAGCCGTGTGCACCGGCATCCCCACTCTATCGTTTTATATTAATTTCAAGGTGTGATCCATACTTTCGATCGTTTTAACTAATGAGTCCGAATTTGTTCCTCCCGCAGTAAAGCTGCGTAGAATTAAGTGTTCCTCCCGAAAATCGGTAGAGTGTTAATTTGTTTTTTTTCCGCACAGCGGATGATTTTATATTTTTGAGTTTTATTTCCCGCAAAAGGCGGAGGTTATATATTTTGTCCCCAAAATAAGGGTTGATTTTAATCGAATTGAAGTGAATTGATAATTTATATGATTTTTTTAATTATATACGAAAAATAAGTAATTTTAAAGAAATAAAGTGAGAAAAGTGATTTACCATATCATTAAAAAGGAATAAAAGTTAAAAAGAAGTTAACCCGGCTGAAAATCCTTGCTCAAGATCATACGTAAGAACATGTGCAAGAACGTTGATAAGATGATCTTGCACACGAACTTGTGTATGTTCAGCCCAAGGATTTGGAACAAAGAACATGTGCTAGAACATGCATAAGAGTCCATACCGAGAGTAAGTAAAACTATCTATTAGACTCATGAACTTGTACAAATCATATATAAGTTCATATGCAAGGTCCTGTACAATTTAATTAAAAACTTTAAAGGCTGCGCAGTAGTTTTCTATGGCTTCTGCAGCTGCGCAGTTATTTTTAGATCATACATGCGGAGCGTGACTAAAGACAATGTTAAAAATTTTCTTCTATTTTGCATAAATAAAAAAGTTAATAAAAGCTAATAATAAGATAATATTATTAATTATACATGAACTTATACACGATCTTGTACAAGTACACAAGAGAGAACTCGTGTTTTTCGTTATCTTGAGTTATATTTGCAAGAACATTTGCATATTCTTGTATATGTTCATTGTTCCAAATCCTTGGGCCGAACGTATGTAAGTTCATACAAAGTACTTGTCAATGTTCTTGCATAAGTTCTTACGTATGATCTTGTACACGGTTTTTTGGCCGGGAAATTTAAGAAGAAAAAAGAATTGTTTAAAGAAAATATTACTATAAAAAAGTGATTATTAAAAAAATAAATAAAAGTGATTCATTTAAAAAGGAAGACAGAGTGTTAAATTTCAAACCTCTATCTTGTGATTATAAAAGCATTTTTTTGTAATTGTCTTTACTGCAAATATCAGAGTTGATTAAAAGTTCAAAATCGGTGACCCCGATTTTTGAATATTAAAATCAATTTTGATATAATTTTGAATTAAGATAAGCAAAGAGTCTTATACTGAACATAAATAATTAACAAGAAGGAATAAAAACTATTGAAGAATAAAAGAAATAAGAAACAAGGAAGAGAAAATCTTGATAAGGAATATACTACAGGTATGAATCTGAGTGATTCACCTATAAAGAGTAACAGGAGACTTTTCTGTCTCTAATATAAATAAAAGATTTATAAGTTGGTGAGTTGATTATTAATTATTACACACTTTACACATTTATACACTTTCACACATTACGATTTATATTAAGACATAACAATTATTATTTTTATAAACAAAAAAATAACTATTGGATATCATTAATGTTATATTATTATTACGTAAAGAAAAAGAATCTTCTATTGTATTTTATAAAAGGAATATTTCACTATAATAACTATTATGCATTAATAAGCACAAGGAATTTAGAATCTAGTAAGATTCTTGTTAGTTGTATCATTTTTTTAAATGAATATTTTAATCACTTAGAATTGAATAAACGAGAGCATTCTATATTGAATCATATTGCAAGCAGTGTTTTATTACGGTTTTCTAACTGTTGTCCCCTAATCCTTTTTTTTACTTCTTTCAATAAAAATACCGTCTAACCGGGGTTATTGAATTAATAATAAACCTAAAAGAGGGATCCACTACCTTTTGAATATAAATTTTGTTCCCGAAAAGCAAATAACGTTTACCTTGGGATGATAAGTTTTGAGTCTTATTCTATTTAACCTTTTGAAATTATCTTCAATACAGTTAAAGTTGAATTTGCTCAAAATAAAAATTTGTTTTTATTGAATAATTAATCAAATTCATCTTTAACATGAACCAAAAACAATGAATTTCAAATAAAAGTACCTTACATTGTATATGTCAACTAATTTTAAAATTTTTTAAGTGAATTTTTGAACGGTGGCCTGTTTGGGGCCACTTTTTTGAAAGTCGAAATATCATCTCTTTTACGAAAATCGTCTTAATTTTATTATGCTTAGTAATATGAAAAAGTCTTGTAGCTACAAAATTAGTTAATAAAATAAAGTTTCAAGGCTTAATGTTGATAATCAAGTTATATAATACCGTTTAGGATTTACAGTCGTTCAAAAGATGGGTGGCCACCTTGGGACCCTTTACTCTTTAACTTGGAATTAAAACATTTGGTTTTCAGCCGACTAATTATTCAGAATAAAATTGAAAATTATAAGAGAAATGAATTACAACAAAATTGATTTTGAAAAGAATGCACTGTCACATATGTTTCTTAATAATTTATTATTACATTAACCTATAATTACAAATTCATATTATTCTTATAAATAGTTTTATATATTTAGTAGTTCCCTTCCACTAAATCGAGCTTTAGACTTTTGTAATCGGTTTGATCATCAATCTTTTTTTCATTGTTCATGCAATATTCAATTTTATATTTGATAAGTTTTCAGACAACCAATTAGTGAAGATCGGTAAATCCATCGCATATTGGCATCCCTGACGTCTTTTGCTTCTGAAAAAATGATTATATTGCTTTTTAGTATTTACATAACTATTCGCTTGAAAGTATTAGTTGTAAAATTAAAGTCTTATAAAACATATTGCTGCCTCATGAAGGAAGTATTGTAATACCAAAATTTTTCCAACTTCGAGTTTTGGATATAATAAGTCGCTTAGGGGGAAGACTGTGTTGTTTCACGCGATCCGTGAAAAAAGTGTCTTTTCGGGCGAAAGGTGAAGAAAATGCCTTTTCAGCAATGCAAAATTTTTTTTCATTTTCTTAGGTTGACAAAACACAATGGTGCGAAGTAAATTATATTGTTTATTTGATTTGATAAAAATTATTTGTTATCCCACATGCACAAAAATGTCGCTTTTAAATAGCTTCGATGACAGGGCTCGTTTCTTCTTTTGTTAATTGTCAAATCGTACACTGAGAAAAAAAACTGTTGGCCCAATAGCACCAATGCTATTGAATTTAATTTTGTTGAGAGAATAATTTCTGCATTGAATTAAGAAAATATATGTTAAAATATAATAATTCATAATATAATTTCACATGTAAAATGGTTGAAATGTAGGGTTGATACCATTTTGATTCAAAAAATATTAGTTAGTTTGAAATAATTGTTGCCATTATTTTAAATACAATTTTGTTAAATTATTAAATAGTATTTACAGTTTGTATAGATGTACATTTTAGACGATGAAATATGCTTTTGAATCAATAGCACGTGCTTTTGTTATTACAAAAGATGTATTCGAATATGTTCAAAAACAGATGCTATAGAATTGACAGTGCCATGCTATAGAATTTACAGTGCAATGCTATAAAATTGACAGTACCGTGCAGTAAAATTGTAGTCATACTTATTTAAATGAAAGATGTTAGGTATTGTTTTTTTAAAATGATTTTTCAATATGAAAACATATTTCTACTATTTAATAGCATTTGCATTTAATATAAAAATATCATGTCTTAAACTTAAAAAAAATTATTTATTTAACAATGATAAAAATGAAGATTAAAGAAGATTTATAAAATAAGGTAATTAGGTTATTAAACATTTTTTTCACTAAATATTTGCTATGCCTACTTAAAAAATTAATTTTTTCTCTCACAAGCGGTGATAATTTCATCAGTTTTGTATATAAGGAAGTTCAAATCGAAATCATTTAAATGTATTATGATTGTATGTATGCATGTGCAATGTTAAATAGTGTGTTAAGTTTATATTGTGATAAATTATGAGTTAAGGTCAAGTTCTGATTTTCTATCTCAAATTGTGTATGCTGCGTGCAAAACTTTAAAAAAGTGTATCTTGAAATAAGATTCAGATGTATAAGAGAGCAAAGATATGAGCCTCCGGAAAGTATAACCACACATAAAATTCTGACCGCCATGCTAATTCAATGGGCGTCAGAATTTTATGTGTGGTTATACTTTCCAGAGGCTCTTTATGTTTATTTCTTAAAACATTTTTTGTATAAAAGCAACAGTTTTAATCATTGAAACTATAGCATCATGCTATAAATTCTTGTTCATGTACTTTAAAATTGATAGCATGCGCTATTGATTCAAAATAAGGTAGAAATCAAATCACTAGTACATGCTATTAAATTTATAACAGATTTAATTATATCTAAGAAATGTATTTCTTGATATTATAGTATTTTTCGTTAATACTATAACTTTTGTAATAATATTATATAATATTTAAATCTATAGTGAAATAATCAATAGCCCATGTTATTAAACCATGTTATTAAAACATGTTATTTGTATTCGAACGATATTGAATATGCCGTTTATTGCGACAAACAAATATGTCATTGATTCAATAGCATTTTTCTCTCAGTGTATCGTCTAATTTTATGTCACCGACCGAACTTCTCGACTTTCCCATAACTGACAGCTAAAAATAATATGTGTACGTCCACATGAAAAGGGCCCATTTTTTCGGTTCTAGTTTTCGAGGTAATCGCGATTTAGTAATTTTGGGTCAAAATCTTAATTTTTAAAAAAATTTTATTATCAATCTGCATGTTTTGACAAGTCGAATCATGCGGTTTTCATTAATTTATCGATAATTTAACTATTTGATTTCATTGGTTCTTTAGAAAAAATAGAAAGGCCCATTTTGTCGGTCATTTCCAAAAGTAATCGGTATTTTAAAAATGGAGGCGTGGAAAAATTTAAATCCTCTTGATCTTTCATCTTTAAGGTGCCCTGGACTGAAAACAATTCTTATCTGAATAACTTCCCAGAAGAACCAGAGATATTGATGTTATAAATAACAAAGTAGCACATATTTTCAAAAATTCACGGAAATTTGCAGACTTTTTCTTGATCTAACTGAATTTCCGGTTTTCCCAAACTAATATAATTAATAATTTAATATAATATTAATAACATGTTATAAAAAAGTTAGATAAATATGTAAAGTAAATTAAGGAGTTTTAATATAAAGAAAAATTTTACGTCAATAAATTGCAGTATATATTTGGGCTTTAAATTTTATGAAATGATTTTAATAACAAACAAGTCGCGTTATTTTAGCTCTACACGGAGAAAAATTTATTCGTACTGATTACAATAGTCCATATTACTGTTCTGTTATGATTAATAGCTGTTGTAAGGAGTACAAACATGAAGGTATCCCTTACAACAGCTATAGTAATCGTTCCTACTCAATTCTTAACACATTACATAGTCTTCGTAATCATTCCAAAAGTACAAGGATTTGAAACAAATTCTTGTATTAGAACTTGTACAAGAAAAGAAGCTAGTGCAAGAAAATGTATATGATCTTGTACGGTTTCATGTACTTGTACATGTACATGAACCGTACAAGATCATATACATTTTCATCCTTGTACAAGAAATTGTACATTTTCTTGTACAAGTTCAGCTGCTGAATTTGTGCATTTTCTTGTACAAGATCTTATACAGGGATTTTCAGTAGGGTATTTCGTAACCATGACGGAAATGTAAAATATAAACAGCGGTTTAACACATTTCATAATCTAGAAAAGGCAATTAACTTAGTGTTGCTTAGTGCTAAACCGCGATAGTCTTATTTCTCCGTAAAATAATTTTCCTGTTACCACCTGATTACATGTGCTATATTTTTTTAACCATAACACAGCCACACAAAAAAAATAAAGTGTCTTGATCTGGGCTCGAGACATACTTATTCCGATGTATTTCGATGCGCTGAATCCGAATCCGCCATCAGAATTTGGCCAATGGGTCCTGGTTTCGCGCTAACCTCAAAAAATACCCTAAAATCGTTAAAATGGTCACTTTTGATTTATCAAAATTGAATCAAATTGAATCAAACCGCATATTGATAATTTTCTCAGATTCCTTAAGGGGTTAAACCACTCTAGAGCGTCAAAAAGAGGTTCTTATTTCAACATTTTTTTAAAAGAAAAGTTTAAAAGTAATAAGAAATATGTTTACATATCTCTATCAGGTACACTTTAAAGAGAAAAAAATATACTTTATAAATTTTTTTTGTTTAAAAACTGCAGATGTACATGTACGTGATGGAAACCCTTTGTAAAAAGAATTCCTTCACGGCCGGAAAGGTTTTTGGTACAATTTTCATCCTAGAACAGAAAACAAATTTTTTTCTATTTTTACATCTCAAAAGCTAGAGAAAGATGTAGGGGATTTTTTTATGTTGCATATTTTTTTAAGTTATAAACAATTTAGTGCCTATTTTTTCAGTCAAAAACTTAGTTTTTCCATAAAATGTTCACCATTTTTGCAAAAATCGATTTAAAAAAAATTCCCTTTTTTTTCTTCCTTTTTTTTCTTTCTCTAGCTTTTGAGATGTAAAAATAGAAAAAAATTTGTTTTCTGTTCTAGGATGAAAATTGTACCAAAAACCTTTCCGGCCGTGAATGAATTCTTTTTACAAATGGTTTCCAATAACGTACATGTACATCTGCTGTTTTTAAACAAAAAAAATTTATAAAGTATATTTTTTTCTCTTTAAAGTGTGCCTGATAGAGATATGTAAACATATTTTTCATTACTTTTAAACTTTTCTTTAAAAAAAATGTTGAAATTAGAACCTCTTTTTGACGCTCTAGAGTGGTTTAACCCCTTAATTTGAATAAACTATTCTATAAGCTTTTCAATTGAAAATTCATATAAAACATTAAATCTATTGAACCTAACCTCAAAAACACATCTAAGATTCCAAACGAACAAATTATACCATACGCAGCACAATAAAAAATAGGTAAGCTCATGAAAGTTTCAACTTAGGTGTTTCTATAACTGCTGATTACGAAGCCGGTGTTAGTTTATCAAAATTCAAAATGGCGGATCCAATATGGCGAACAATATAATTAAAATTTGTTTGGACTGGCTTGAAAATCGTTACTTGGGGGTTTTCGGGGTCGCTGATGACGAATCCCATGTCGGTTTCTAAAAATTCAAAATGGCGCATTCAATATGGCGGTCTTTATTATTTTAACGATTATTTTAAATTTATTACTCGCGGTTTTTCGGGACCTTTGATAACGAATCCTATATCAATTTTTATAATCTTAAAGTCTTACGAATTGTTTTCTAACAATTTTTTCTAACAATTCGTAAGACTTTAAGATTATAAAAATTGATATACGATTCGTTATCAAAGGTCCCAAAAAACCGCGAGTAATAAATTTAAAATAATCGTTAAAATAATAAAGACCGACATATTGAATGCGCCATTTTGAATTTTTAGAAACCGACATGGGATTCGTCATCAGCGACCCCGAAAACCCCCGAGTAACGATTTTCAAGCCAGTCCAAACAAATTTTAATTATATTGTTCGCCATATTGGATCCGCCATTTTGAATTTTGATAAACTAACACCGGCTTCGTAATCAGCAGTTATAGAAACACCTAAGTTGAAACTTTCATGAGCTTACCTATTTTTTATTGCGCTGCGTATGGTATAATTTGTTCGTTTGGAATCTTAGATGTGTTTTTGAGGTTAGGTTCAATAGATTTAAAGTTTTATATGAATTTTCAATTAAAAAGCTTATAGAATAGTTTATTTAAATTAAGGGATCTTAGAAAATTATCAATATGCGGTTAGATTCAATTTGATTCAATTTTGATAAATTAAAAGTGACCATTTTAACGATTTTATGGTATTTTTTGAGGTTAGGGCGAAACCAGGACCCATTGGCCAAATTCTGATGGCGGATTCGGATTCAGCGCATCGAAATACATCGGAATACATATGTCTCGATCCCAGATCAAGACACTTTATTTTTTTGGTGTGGCTGTGTAATCGATCCTTGTTTTCTATAGCTAGTGTTGCCGCAAGACTCAAGACTTTTCGAGACAAGACGAGACTGAAGGTGACAAGACCAAGACAAGACCGTCCCTATATCTCGTCTCGATTATTCAAGACGAGTCGAGATCAACTGGGTCAAGACCAAGACAAGACCAAGAGTCTCGAGTTTAAACTGATAGAATAAACTTAAACTAGAAAAATAAGTATTACGCATAATTTTGTTCAGTATAAATGAATACTTTATTTCTTATAAATTTTTATTTATCTAAAAATTAATAATTTTAATATGGAGAGCACAATAAAATTTTCAATTTATTTTAAAACACAAATATTTATAAAATAGAAATCTATTTTTTTCTGAAATTTTTAGACTTTTTTAAACTCATTTTTGATTTTAGTTAGCTAAAAAATTACCTAAGCCACAATTTTTTTCTTTTCGCACATTTTACAAATACCATTTTTAATTTTATCTTCATATTTAAAGTCGAAGAATTCACTATAGTTGGGACGGTTATTTTTATCAGAAATTGTTGTATTTGATGAACTTTCAGCTTCAATATCAACAATTGGAGATATTTCTGACTCTTCACTTCCGTCATTCCGATCATTTTGCTTTGAAGATTTAATTACTGGAGACAAGCTTATAAATAATTTACTTATATTTAAAATTTTTATACTTTTTCAAACTTCAAAATACATTATATAAAAATCAATACAATATTATTCATTAATATCAATAGGTACTCTATTATAACAATTTTTTTTTGTTAAAAAAATTTCGAGACTATTCAAGACGAGACGAGACTTTTTCAAGACAAGACTCATTGTTAGTCTTGACGTTTCAAGACGAGACGAGATTGTAGAGAATCTCGTCTTGTCTCGTCTTGCGGCAACACTATCTATAGCGATATGTTTTTAAATATTGACATTTTCATATGGAATCATTTATAATTCGAGTATCGAACTAAATTAAGTTTTCTTACCCTTTCTTCTACTGCCACTTTTCTACTTTTCCAAACAAATTCGCCAACAGCAATAACACAAGCTACGCCCATACCGCCCATCAAAACGACAAATACCCCTCCAACATTTGCTAAGCCAAGTTCATTAGCAGCAGAGCTGTTCTTGGAAATGTCATCCTGAAAATAATAGAAAGTTGGATAATCTAACTGAACAGGTTTATTACTGAATTATATTTAAGTCTCCTTCCAGTAGTTTTACAGTAAGATTAAGCAGATAATATTAATGTAATATAACAGTAATGTTACTGAAGTGTTACAGAAATATTACTGTTAAGTTACTGTAATATTACGTGCTACTTGGGTATTGGGTCCGTTTACGTTTAATTACACTGGGTTACAAAGAATGTTGATGTAGTGTTTATTTAAAAAATGTTGTGTTTACTGAAACTTTGGGTATCACTGAACTAGAATATGCCAAAAAAATTGTTTTCATTTGGTCAGTCCCATAAAAAACTAGCTTAAAGTTTCAAAAAATCGCAATTTCAGCACTTTTTGAAGCACACTGTAAAATAAAAACACCACATGATAAAAAACTCTAAAAAGGCTCAAATAAAAGCTTCCATTATAAAATTTAAGGTGCAGAACTGAAATATAATTGAGAATTACCGGGAACCTATTTTTATCAAGAAGTCGCTTATCTAACAGTCATTGTTACGTTTGCACTAAACATTTTTCAATTGTTAATATACAATAATCAAAACATTTAATAGATTATTTTATAGTTAACAATTACCATATATGTTATATGTATAACATCTTGTTAATATACGTATTGGGTATAGGCCTTTTTCCCAAAGGAATATTCTCGAGAACAAAAACAATGACCTCACGCGTGCCGCGGAGTGCACTTGTCAGAACGGAAGTATGGGAGACGAAAAGATTCAAATTACATCTTAAAATTGTACCATTTTTTTACGTTATCTAAGCTAACGAGCTTCTAGTTGCATATATATGTAAACATGTACATGGTCAGTCTCGATGGGAGACACACGAGGAGGAAAAAGACAGGATGCTCCTAGTCGCAAAACCTCCTCGTGGAATATGAAGAGACTCGACAAGGAAAAGTTCGGCCGGTCCCTAAGAGAAGCCCTTTTAATTGAGGACTTGGGCTGGGTGAAGAGGCCGAGCAGTCTGGATGGGGAGGTGCGAGCGGTGAGGAACATGATAGTCACCGCTTGCAATGCGTCAATGCCACGCAAAGGCGCCACTCCCGTAAGAAAATCCTTGCACTGGTGGTCAGAGGAGCTAGCCTCCTTGAGAAAGGAATGCCTCAAAGCAAGAAGGACATATACCCGATCTAAGGGAGATCCCTTGCTGAAACAGGCTTTCAAGGAGGCGAAAAAGAACCTCAAGAAAGAGATCCGGAAGTCGCGACGCCATAGCTGGAAGGACCTAATCGAGGAAGTCGATAAGGACCCATGGGGTCTGGCTTTTAAAATCGTGACTAAGAAATTAGTGACGAGGCAAAAGACCCCCGGCCTGGACAATCCCGATTGGGTCCGAAAGATAATAAGTTCTTTGTTTCCTCCTGCGGAGCCATACCTTAGAAGGGACTGGAGTTTTTGCAAAGTCGAAGAGGAAGAACTCTTCACACTTAGTGAACTGCAAAAAGCAGGCAAAAGATTGAAAACAGGCAAGGCGCCTGGAATCGATGGGATAAGTAACGAGATCCTAAAGTTGGTAATCGACACTTCACCCCAGATTCTGCTTCGATGCTTCAATCTTTGCCTTGAGAGAGGAGAGTTCTTCCGCGACTGGAAGCGACAGAGGTTAGTCCTCCTAAGGAAAGGTGAAAAACCTCTAGATAAGGTTTCATCGTACAGGCCTATATGCCTGCTAGATACGATGGGTAAACTTCTAGAGGATATGGTTCTGCAGAGAATGCAAAGCCACTTGACCGAAGAGAATCGTCTATCCGATCACCAATTTGGTTTCCGTAAAGGCAAGTCCACGGTTGATGCCATCCAGGCAGTTGTGGACATAGCCAAAGCAGGAAAAAACAAATTGGGACCTGGGAAAAAGAAGAGCTTCTGCGCGTTGGTAGCAATTGACATACGCAACGCGTTTAATTCCGCAAGATGGAAAGATCTCATCGAGTCGATGGAAAAGAAAAACATGCCGCCCTACTTGTTGCGGATAATGGATAATTATCTTAGCGACAGGTGGGTTATATATGAGGGAGACACCTGCACTCTCAGGGAAGAGATGCAGCGTGGGGCTCCTCAAGGCTCGAGGGTGGGTCCATTTGTATGGAATGTATCTTACGATGATTTTCTGCGAATGGATCTGCCCGAAGGTGCGGTGATCATCGGCTTTGCGGACGACGCGTTGTTCGTGTGCACTGCCGAGAGTGAGGAGGCTCTTGGGACATTGGTGAACGAATGTCTGCGACTAGCAAAAAGCTGGCTGGATACCAGAGGTCTTGAAATGGCCCTGGAAAAGACCGAGGCACTGCTGGTCACAGACAGACGTGGTTATGAGCTCCCACGAATCGTGATAGACGGATTCGAGGTCAAGTGGAGTAAACAAATTAAATACCTTGGTGTGGAGTTGGATGGAAGGTTAAACTTCCACCACCACATGGCTATGGCGTCGAATAAGGCTATGGAGTGTGCGGCTAATCTTTCACGGTTAATGCCAAATGTTGGCGGACCCCGTGAACAAAAAAGAAGACTGGTGGCGAGTGTCGCCCATGCTAAAATGCTCTACGCAGCACCAGCATGGGCCCCATCCCTGAGGAGCAAAAGATGTGTTACCATCTGTGAAAAGATACTGTCGGCGCAGAGATCGATAACAACGCGTATCATCTCTGCATATAAGACGGTATCTACGAGTGCTGTGCAGGTCCTTGCAAGTGTCCCGCCAGCAGATCTTTTGGCGAGGGAAAGGGAAGAAATGTTTCTCTTTTCTAAAGAAAGAAGTTCCTTGGATGAGGAGTTAAGACCAAGCAAGGGCCTGATTCGCAAAGAAGCGAGGCACAGGCTCATAGAAAGATGGCAGGAAAGATGGGATGGTGAGGAAAAAGGTCGATGGACTTATCGCCTTATCCCGGCACTCGCCACCTGGATGAATAGGAAACACGGTCAGGTTTCCTATTACTTGACTCAGGCGTTCACAGGTCACGGGTGTTTTAACTCGTACCTGTGTCGCTTTAAATTACGCGAGAACGAGGTGTGTGCATATTGCCAGTTCCCTGTGGACAACGCGGAGCACACCCTCTTCTCATGCAAGAATTGGGACTTGGAGAGGCGGGCCATGTTCGAAGGTGTAAACAGACAAGTTACACCGGAGAACATGGTATCGCTGATGACCCAGTCGGAAGAGAATTGGCGGCAAGTCGAGAACTTCATAATCTCGGTTATGTCGAGGAAGGATCTCGACGGCCGCCAAAAAGCGTAATTTAAACAGCTTTTAATTTTGTTCGTTTGTTTTTTATTAATTTATTTTGTGATTTATTTGTCCTTATACATTTTTTAATTGTTTGTGTTTTTTATTCATCTTTGTACAGTTTTATGTTTTTGAATTTTTTATACGCGTTTATTTTTTCTTTTTTTTATATATCCGTTTATAATTTTATCTTCTGACTTTTTACACTTAATTACACATTTGTTATTTTTAATTATTGTTGTGCTGTTAATTCCGCTTTATATTGAAATAGTTTTAAATTTTTAACTATTAACGCAGGATAACCGCAGAGAAAAGCAGAAAGTCGCATTAGCGACAGAGTTGGAGCGCCACCCTCGAAGGCTAAAGTCTTACGACAGTTCCGAGGGAGGGTAAAGGGCTCCAGAAGAAGGGTTACGGGTTTTAGTGGGTCGGGCTGGCAGTAGGTCGCCAGTTTATTAAATTTACTATTTTATATATTTATTTTTCTTTTTTTATCTCCTTTTGTTTTATCACACCAACCCCACATAACCTTGGAGTACGGAATCCAAGGTATCTGTAGGCAGATTTCCCAAAATTCCCTAAGCAAAAAAAAAAAAAAAAAAAAAAAAAAAAAAAACATGTACATGGTTATAAGCTTAAATCTTTTATATTATTGCTAAAGAATGAGTATTGACAGTAACCAAAAACATTATTTATATATCAGTTATATTCCCAGGTAGAAAAATTTAATGGAAGCCTAGATATATGCTAGCGCCACCACTGGAATTTGTATGGCAGTTTATCTCGCCGACGTCTTCTAGCGCCTTGCATGGCGCGAGCACTTTCTGCTAGAATGCAACATAACCACAAATATCGCTGTTGCATAAGGTATCAACGGTGTTTGTTTTTTTGTTAAGGAAATTTTAAAAAATATTTTAAGTAATTAATCTAACAATTTATCACCAAGAATAACAATAAATACTTTTGATGAATTAAACATATTAATTTCTCTAAATTCAAATTAGAAAACATAACCTCGAACGTCTGGATTTATGTTTTCTTTATTTGTAATTGACCTGTCAGAACAGTTTTATTGGTTTTAAATAAGAACATAACTTTTGCAATTAAATTATAAGTGATTTTTTAATAATAATTTAAACTTTTGGAGATAATTTTCATAAACTAATATGTATATATAATTCCACAAGGTTAAGAAGTGTGATTACATTTATTAAAACGAAAAGTGTAATTAATTCTTTAAATATGTATAATTTCCATTGTAAACAGATAATTAGTAAATATTTTTTATATATACTTTTATTTAAAGTCATCAAATGAAATGACATATAAGAATAATTGTTTAATTCGCGAAATAAATTTTTGGCAGGTGAGGTTATGTACATTCTGTTATGTTCGCATTCTAGCACTGCGAGCAGAATGCGAGGAAGGTGCTAGAGCACAAAAGTGTTTCAAATGCTGTCAGCGCCACTACAGCGCAATTGCGTGCGAGATTGGCGCCTTACTAGCGCCACCAAATTTTTCTACTAGGGTTAGGGGAAGTGCGCCGGTTGTGGGCACCCCTATGTAAACTTTGACGGCAAGCAGACTTTACTGATCTAATAGCGAATTCGGTTATCTGCTCCCAGAGTGATCTTGCTCGGAGTAAGAGTACAGTTTACTCTGCTCTCAAAATGCTCTGCTCTACTCTGAGGTACTCTATGACGTCATAAACACTGACAGAGTTCAACTGT